TTTTTATTTTATTTTATTTCTATATCAAGCCGAGCTCTTGCATAGCAAAAAGAGAGAGCATTCAGAAACTACCTTTAAAAATTCTCTCTATTAACTCTTGCTTTTTATTTGTTATTTAATTCTTAATTTATTTATGTTCTATGTGTATTTATTTATTTATACTTTTTTCTCCAGTGCTTCGTTCTAGTTGTGTGGACATGTGCATATTTCATGACGAACTGTATAAATTTAATCCGCTGCCGTTGCTGCTGCTGTTGTTGCTGTTGTTGCCGTTGCTGTTGTTGCCGATGTTGCTGCTGTTGTTGCTGTTGCTGGTGTAAATTTCCAGCCATGGGTAACACCTTTTTGCTGTAATGCTGATTTCGAGGGGTGGTTTGAAAGGTTGTCTCTTTTGCTTTGTTTGCATTTGTTTTTGAATACACAAAAAAAAGTTCGAGCTTTTTTTTAGCTTAAATTTAACTGAAAATTGTGGCAGCTATAACAAAAAGGAAAAAACTGTCATGTTTCCACTTTTTGCGGCACGAGGCGCAGCCTGTTTGCTTTTGGTGATTGATTTACGTTGGGTTTGTTTTAGATTGAAATATTTGGTGACTGCTTTGGGCCCTTATTCAATTTGTGTGCGCTTCCATTTTGATATGCACTGATATTTATCAGCTCTTAAGCTGCGAGCCGATTGATAATAATTTAAGCAATTAATACCCTGCATTTCAGCACACCATCCGGCTACTAGCACTTGTGATCCCTGTGGCTAGCTGCTGGCTATTCGTACAAAATTCGCTTAAGACAGTTCTATAAGCTATTGATGCGTTGAGCTTAGGCTGCAAGCCATATTTTACGCTCAAGTGAGAGCCCTGAGGCAGCGTTTGATGCCTGACGGCCAAGAAAACATTTATTAGCTTGACTGAGCAGCGAGCGAGCAGAGGAGAATGAGGACGGGGGCGAGAGCATAAGGATGAGTTGACTTTTGTTTTTGTCCCACTTGATTTGCTTGTCAATGCAGACAAACGTTGTATTTACCAGCACATGTGGCGTATGCGTAGTCAAAATGTTTTGCCTGCCAAATTGAAAACATAAACACTTGCCCAGACAGCTAGACGGACAGCTGGCCGGACTGTCCGCCGGCTTTAGCTGCGTGTTGACAACGTGTCATGTCTAATGACCAAACAGACGTTGAGCAAATAAATAGCAGCACTTTCTGCTACTCGCCCAACGGCCCTGAGTGGCTGTGATTGGGGACTGAGTATGGGGCGTGTTAAGGCTTAGCCGTCTTTTTTTTTTGTCATTTTATGCTGTGCCCACAGAGCGACAGCTTAAAGCTATTGACTGAGACATAAAGTATGCTATGAAGTGCCCGATTTTTTGTAATCTATCCAGAGTATTTCCGAGTCGAAATGGTTCGACTTTAAAGTCACTCGACTGCATCATTGGCGGCGACATTTCGATTGATTTGGCAGTTGCTGCGATATGTGCTAGTTGGCTGATCAATGTGGATCAGTAATTTGATTAGCACTTTAATAAGCCGTAAAAGTTAAGTTGAACTAATCAATAAAAGCGGCCAAGTTAAAGAAACTTTTGGGAATATTTCACTAGAGCAAATAAAGCGGAGCCTTTTGCTCATTTGTTGGATTTATGTGCGGCACTTAAACTGAATTGACAATCAATGGCCAAGGCCAACGACAGAGGGAGTATTATGCGAGGTGGGTGTGGCATGGGGCGTTTGGCTGGACCAAAACAAAAGCAATACAAGCCATGGACAAGCCAAAGCTCATAAACAATGCGGCCAATTTACATGCATTGGGCCGACACACGCATTGTCTGTTGATGGGTGTGTGTGTGAGCATAAGTGTGTGCGAGTGTGTATAAGTGCCATGGCCTCGTTGCTGTTGTTGTGTTGTAAATAAAAAATTGTCCCTTTTGTTGCATATAAAAACAATGGCCCAAAGAACTTGAAATCAATTTCAAACGTTTTAGCCAAAGCCAATTGATTTATGTATTCCATGTGTGTGTATGTGAGAGAGAGAGAGTGTTAGGATGTGTGTGAGCTGCTGAGCTTGTGTGTGTGAATATGTGTGGGCATTGTGTGTAATGCCTGAACTAAGCGCAATGGAAGCTCATTCAACTTGGCAGCTCGCCGAGTTGTGGGCCAAGGTTTTGAGCCGCAAACAATTAACACTGCTCAACAAAAGTCAACGGCTGGCATAGCAAGTAGCATTGATGGCTTTTACTTACACTTGACAAACTTTTTATTGCTTCCAAGCAATTGCAAAAATTTAATCTCAAATAACAAAACAAAACAAAATAAAAGCAGCCAGCAATTGGCATGGACACATTGCAGCTACTTGAAGACACTGAACGAAATGACAAAATTTTCCACTCGTAATTGAATAAAAACAACGCGCAATGCGAAAAGTAAACAAGGCGCAAAGTTAGCCAGGACGGGCCTGGCTGCCATATGGGTCAACACTGCTCGCTCCTTCAGTCCTAGCTTTTCCCTCTTTCTCGCTCTCGCTTCTCTCCAGGCTTTCTCGGGTCACCCTTGTGGTTTGCTGCGTTTGATTTGACACATCTCGCAATGCAATGGAGCATGAAATAAATGAAGAGCGCGTCGCAAGTCACATCCTTCAGCTGAATCAAATAGCCAAAGCAAAGCCAAGCCAAGCCATGGCAAGTCGAGCCAAGCAGCCGCACTGAATGTTTTTTCCCATTGGCCCTGGCCCTGGCCCAGGCCCAGTCAAACAGCTAACCACCCACATTTGGCATGGCATGCTGGGTAGCATCGACATTTTTACGCCTTTTATTCAGTTGACTGCATAAACATTCTCGCTACGCATTTTAAATGTCGCTGCTGCTTAGCTTTTGTTTTGCCAGCCATTGGCTATAAAATTGAATTGATAATGGGCTTGAGAAAAATAAGTTCTCGGGCATCGCATACAATCGTCGTCTGTATGAAAATTGCCCTTTAATAGCTGCAGCCCTAAAAAACGCCGAGCACAAAAAATACTAAAATTATCGGCAGTTAGTTCACGGTTCCGATATTCAATCACTTTATGAAGCTGTTGGATTTAAAAAAGGTTCAGTTAAATTGGAATGCAATAAATATTAATATATATCTTATTTGATGAAAATTAATAAGAAACTATTGGCTGAAAGTAGTTACATTTTGCGATGCCTTAAAGTGGTTAATATACTACATTGTCGCTTGTCATCATTGGCTCCAATTCGTTGATATACACTATGTTTGCCACATGTGAGAGGGCAAATGATTCACTTGAGCTGCGCTGGGCATGCAAAAAGTGGTTGCTTAAAGCTGATTTTGCAGCAACGCTGTCTGGGTTTTTGGCTTGGGCTCAACTTGTTGCCCTTGTTAGCAGTTTATGACCCTCGAGCGTTGCTCATTATTGCAAATTTGAAGCAACATGGAGGGGATCATGGCCAGAACTTTGGCATCAAGTTTGATTTGTTTACACATGCGCCTTGTTTTCGTTGCTGGGGAAATGTTTTCCTGCCAGCTAACAAGTTGTAAATTAACCTAAAAATGTGTGTTTTGGCAAATGTGCAAAAGAGTGAGGCTTGGAGCGAAGCAGTGGCGAAAGGAGCTAAGACCACAGCTTGGCCACGCACACTCGCAGTCGCACTAACACAGATGCGCTTACACATGTTCGTATGCATGTAAATGAGAGGAAAAAGCCGCAGAGCCAAACGCTCTAACAAGCGACAGTAATCAGTGTTACAACAACAACAGCAACAACAACAACAACAATGCCAACAGCTACAGCACAAATTTTAAGGACTGTTACGGCTTAGCTGCACTTGCAGTAGCCAGGAAATTACATGCACAGGAGCTGAAACAATGACAGACTCCTCTGTCCAGCTCATCATCAGTATTTGCCCCCACACCGCTCTCCTCGCAGATGGAGGCGTCCCCAGAAGAGAGTCGACCCAATTTCTGGGCAAACAATGGACAACAATGCAAAAGGAAAGACAAAAAACTACATAGCTTCAGGCGGAAAAAAGAATAAAATCCACTTGAAATGCAATGTCGCGAGCGTCTGGACGGGCAGCATGCCAAATGTTGTAACTGTGAGAAATGTGTTTACCAGTGGAAGCACTGGCCAATGTCGTTGGATGTTGTGTCCGCCTCTGTTGCGGGTCGCTCACTTGGCAATGGCGACGAAATAAGTGAAAGTTTATTGCCTTCCTCCATTCACTCCATTCGCTGTTGTAAACCGTTCGAGGAAAATCAATAGAATGCAATTGGAAAGCAAATGACCCATATAACCAGGCTCAAGTGCTACCAACCACTACATTGGGCAAGAAGAGCCTGGCAGTTGCTTCAACGCGCGCCTGTGGCTGAACGTAATTGTGCCAAATTATAAATTATTTCGCATTTGCAATGGAGCAAAGGCGATGCGCTAAGGGTCAGACCAGGGGGCGTTAACTTGGCCTGCGTGCAATTAATTTTGTGCAGCGCCAATTGAATACTGAGACCATGACCGAGCCCGAACCCCAGCCACAGCGAGCACTCCAAGCTACGGCTCGGCGGGCTAAAGGCTAAGCGCATAATTTAAATTTCTAATTAACAGTCAAATAAATTGTGCTCGGCAGCTGCCAGCGAAGCCGCGGCAATTGAGGCGCTTCAACTGATTTTATGGCCAAAATGCTCATTAAATTAACGCCAATTTGCTGCCATAGACAAGACAAGGCGCCAAGGTGCAGCAGCAGCAGCGGCAGCAGCAGCAATCGTTAAAAGCCAATCGAATTCCCCTGATTATTTTTACGGCTACTTGAAGCCTCGTTTAACTCCTGCATCTTACTTCGCTTATGATATGACTATATTTATTTAAAGAAAAAATTAAATAACTTTGGCTTCAATAAAATGATCGATTATTACTCAAGTTATCGGATCCTCAAAAGTTCCGGTTCATCTGAGATATTTTCAATTAGTCAAGTTCAAAGTGGTGGTGGCTGGTCACACTGCAAGTTCAGAAATTTGAAAAACAAAAATGTAATGAAACTGCACATGGAGATACATTTGGGGTTGTTAAGATTTACACAATATAATTGTTGAAGTCGACGTTGCCTTAGATTGGGCAAACATTTGCAGCCACATATTTCTATTAAAGTATCCAGTTAATTAGCCGGCCAGTTTGTGGTCCTTTGCCATGACAAACAAATCAAAATCCTCTGCTGGCGGCATATTGTTGCAAGTCAAAGGAATTGCAACTTAATTAGTGAAATGCAGGCACAATATGCATGTTGCAAGAGTTTAGGCCACGGGGCGTGCATTCGATTTAACTGGTTCAGTGTTGGTAAATACAACTGTAAGTGTTGCATATCAAATGCAAATGCAAGCGCAACTGCCTCATTTGTGTGTGCGCACTGCGCAGTAAATTTTGGGAATTGAAAACAAAATGAATCAAAAATGCAAAGAGCAGCATCAAAGCATGGCAAGTGTAAACCTGCAAGTCGTATGGCGTCGAAATGGAATTGAATTCCTTATCTGTTGGCGCATCCATTTCTTTTCTCTTTTTTTTTTTTTTTTTTTTTTTTCTATTTTTGCTGCCCGCGACATGTGGCATAGCGATGTGCCAGCTGGGCGCTATGCGCAGCTTCTGCAAAAACATTCAATTAGTTTGATTTACACATCTGAAGCAATGTACTGGGTGGCCTTCCCTTCCCTTCGTGGCATCTCTGTCTGGCTTGCGAATTGGAATTTGATCTCTGTCGCACGCTTTTTGCCTTTGTGCGACTGTTGGCATTTCCGTTTCCGCTGTTTAACAAGCAACTTTTGGCATCAACAGCAATAACAACAACAGGCAGCTGGAGCAGCCGCTGCCAAAAACTTGTTCGGCTTTGCGTGCCAAAAAATGCGGCGCTTGGGGCCGCTTAAGGCAGTCAGCATGCGGAATAGGCAATGATGCCTCCACAGTTGCCACGGCTGCTGCTGCTGCTGCTAGTGCTGGAGCTGCTGTTGTTGATGCTGCGCCTGCCGGAAACAGTTTGCTGCGCGCTGTCTCAATATTAGTTTGGACGGCAGCAAAACGCTTCCGGCAGCCAAATGGCAACGTTGCCTGTTGTTGATTTCGTTTGCCCGTTACACTGATGCTGCTGCCTCGTCCGATGATTTTTCAATTTGCATTTGACACAGAGGCAGAATGTCAAAGACTAAATTGAAATGGCAAAGGCTGCTCAGGCAACCACCCCCCAACTATCACCTATTCCCCACCTAGCACTGGCCCACTATCATGGGATGAAAACTTATAATCGTATGCAGTGCACACACACAGTCCGATGGCTAGATCCAAGGCTGGCATGGGCAGCATCTTTGGATTTCGAGACTTTCAATTAGGTAATTGACAGGCGTGTGTTTTGAGCGAACAGCCGGGGCTGGGCCTTGGGGTTGGGGCCTTGGGGATCTTAAAGCCATGCAGTCATTGCAACGTGGCTTAAATGTAAACTACATGGTTTGTCATATGTAAGTGGCCCATTTAATATGGTCAAAGTTATTTCCAAAATTAAATGCAAGCCAAAGTGCACAGCAAGGCAGGGGCAAGGAGCAAGAGGGTGCGGCACCGGCAGCTGAAGAAATTGGAATGCGTCGAGTTCGCATGTCAACTTCATTTGTTGAATGACATAAGTTATCAACGAAATTGCAGGGAAACTGACCTCGAGCAAATTGCTCTGGCGCCCCTTTATCTTTCGTATGGTAAACCATACATACGCACGCAAGCACACACCCACACACACTCATAAACACAGAGAGACAGCAAGAGTTACATACATAAGTAATGCGAAGGACGAAACGATTCATTCCATTCCATTTCACTTACACCAAGGCAACCAATAAGCTCCATGTCAGTACGTCTGTTCGTTGAGTGTATGTGTGTGATTCAGTGCGTGTGTGTGTGTATGTGTGTGCGTGTGCTTGGTTTCATTTCAATCTTTTGCCACTTAACAAATGCACACCCATTTTTCCCCGGAGAGAGAAAGCGTAGCAGGCAAGTGCATAAGTTTAATTTTATTATACGAAAACAATGCAACAATTGTAGCAGTCAACTCACACACACGCGCACACGCATGCATATATGTATATACTATATGCCAACTGTTGTTAGAAGTAGTATAACAATGGCTGTGCAACAATATGGCAATTTGTAAAACGGATTTGGCTCTGCATTTAGAAGCCAATAAAAGAAAGTTAGCTGCAAAAACTTGAGTGAGAACAGCAATGGGGAGATGTGGGCAAACACGTCTTACATATATGTATGTAGATGCGTTTGTGATAACAGTTGTGATTTGAAGCTGTTTGCGATGAAGACAAATGAGAAATTTTCAAATATATATCCTGTTGCATATTCGCACAGATATTACAAATACAAAGACAGTTTGCTTCTGATCAAATGGTCTAATTCGTTATGCTTTTGCACAAGTTTGGTTTGCGTAATATAATAATTTAGTTTGGCTGTCATTAAATTGAAAGAAAAGAGATTTTTTGTGTTGTTGTCGTTGCTTATTGTGCATTATACGAGTTATTTTTCATGTCACTTTAATTGGACAGTGCACGACGAGGTCTGCTTCGCTGACGTTGTCTCTGGTGTGGACCAAAGCGCTGCCGCTCCCGCTGCTGCTGCTGCTTATGGCAGTGGCAATCCCAGTGGCAGCAGCAGCAGCAGTCGCCTTCGTTTCTCATTCGTAATTTGCCATAAAATAAGCATAAATTGGATCAATTTACCAAAAGCTCAGTTACAAATGCGCAGCAAAAGGCAGTCGGGAATGCAATATACAGTTACAGTATTCCAAAGCCATCTACATCTACATAGAATCAGGAGCAGCAGCAGGAGCAGCAGCAGGAGCAGGATGCGGGCGCATGGCCAGCGGTAAGCGCTGGGTTTCACGCCCATCAACGACTGCTGCAGTGCATTGTAATGACCACTCCAGTACCACCAAGGCGCAGCTGAGGCTTTGGAACCAACTGTGCTGACAGTGCTGTGGTCGCTTGCTCTGCCGCTCCCTCTCCCACTGCCCCTACTTCCAGCTGTCTCTTTCAGTGCCCAGCGCTCAGTGCTCCACGGAGTGTCACGTGCATTGAATCCGAAGCCCTCGGTTGCATTTCAGTTGATGCTCATGATGCCCATGATAGCATTGTCATTTCCATTCGTTGGTCGTTCTGGTCGTTGTCGTGGTTGTCTTCGCTCTGCTTAATGTCAACTCTTGGCAGTTCGTCTTAGCTGCCACATAAAAAATTCAATTTATGATGAAGTTGCTTTGCAGCTCTCTCACTTTTCTTCTCTTTCCTTTTGCTTTTTTGTTTCGGCTTTTAGTGCCAACCACGCAGATTTCTTACGGTCGCAAAATTACTTTTGCACACTTGGTTTAATTTACAAGCAGTTTAACTAAGTTCTGGTGCTTTATGCTTGATGCGACACGTTGGCTTCAAATCTTTGTAGGGATCAGATTGGAAAGTATTATATTGGTCTGAAACAATTTTTTTTTCTTTTTCCCCTGAATTGATTCTATAAGTAAATTTAATTCGGTTTGGGATTAAATTTTTTTGAGCATGAACGATCTTTTCATTTTATCGTATTTCCAAAAATTAAATAATTTTTGGCTTTCAATACGAAAATGTAGCTATTTAACTATTAATTATCAACATTAATTTATATTTAATTTATATGGATATATTCAAGTTGCCTTATTAATCTAATAAATTATTTTAATTTTTATTTATTAATTTTAACAAATAATTAAAATCACGAAATACAAGTTTGAAATGATTGTAACTGTAGTACATTTCAATAACCGAAATATCGATACACAAAACACCAAAGTTTTCTAAAAATACTTAATTATGTAAAAATTTAAATGATTTTGGTGCTGAGTCTCATTTATGAACTAGTTCATTTAATGCATAGAAACGAGCTTTCAATGTAATCTACGTTAGCTTCGAGCGCCATTTGTCAAATTGCTGGCCCACGCGCTCTGGTCGAACGTGGTCAGTGCATACGAATACTCGCGTTTGCTGGCTAAGAGGCGGAGACGTCAGTTAGTTTATCATTTCTGCTGCATGCTCATAATCAGTGCTGACAGCTTCGAAATAAGTTGGATTGTGGATAAGGGTTGGCTAAAATAGGCAAAACATATTTCTCTAAGTATTTCCTACAAGTATTTCCTCCAGGAATTTCCTTTAAATATTTCCATTAAATAATTCCTCCTCTTCTGAACGATCACAAATTTCACCTCACTTTACTGTACTGCACGACTCACCCCCACCAGGCCTGGGTGACTGAGGAAGTGCTGCAGCGGCTGCTCCTTAATCCGGCTGCTCTCAAATCCTAAGTCGCGCTCAAATATTGAGCCTGGCGCCAGGTCGGGGTCGTTGCAGTCGAGTTTTATGTTACCAATGTTTGATAATGCTAAATATTGATATTCTAAATAGCTTATGTACATTATTATTATTAGATAGCATATACATCAGTCTCTTCTGTTTAATAGTATGCTTAAGGACTATCTTCTGCCTCAATTTCTGTCTATTCCATCCCAAACTCATTTCCAAAAATGGCTAAACCCTTTGTAAATAGGCTAGATTTAGCCTGAAATAGGCTAAACTGGCAACACTGCTCATAATGCGGTCGGACATTTGGCTTTTAATAATTTTATATTTTGCTGCTATCAGCCACAAGCCACACACACACATAAGTAGATTTCTTGATGTTCTGAATGAAGCTGAAGCTGATATAGGAAATGCGAGCGACACACATTTGGCTTGTGTGTCCCAGACTCGAGTTTTACGATGTTGTTTTCTTCATATTTTGGTTTATTTATGCAGTCATGTATGCCGGCTGTGCAAGTGTTGGCCATTGCAATGCATTAACCATATAATTTCCGTTGCCAAAATCAACATGTGGCGTTGGCCCAGTCGCCAGACTCCCTCCATAAGCCGACAACCGTCAGCCGACAGCCGGAAGTCGGTGGTCGAGTGGCGTCCAACGTTCGCTGGGTGCCCATTATTGAATGCTAGGCGTGTACGTGGACTCCCAGTTGGAGCAGCAGTTGTGATAAATGAATTTGTTTAGCAGCGTCGCGTCGGCTTTGAGGGCCATTCATGGCAGCGGCATCCAGCTCTTTCTCTCCACCCAGGGGTGAGAGCATCAAAAATTTCGTATTCATATTTTAATTAAATTAACATTTTGGTGAATTACTTAGATGAATGTGCCACCAAATACGCTTTCAATAGCGAGCTGTGGAGCAATGTGATGCAAGGACTCGGCTCTCTATACGCAATATCATATTAAAACGCATTTAATACAAACACATACATATATAAATATGTACGTATATATAGGTACATATATACATACATATATTATGACGTACCTTTTGAAGATGCAACAGACCATGAAACCTACATGGAAATGTATTTAGCTGGCCCAAACAAATCCAAAATTATGAAATTGCATTCGTGCGCGTATGTGTGTATATGGATATCATCATAATAAATATATGTATGTATATGTATATATGCATGTGCGTGTATATGCTCATATTTGTCGAGCATGGTCTGGCTTAAGGCAATGCATTTGATTAATTACTTATGTGGAATGTTATGTGAGCTTACATAAATTTAATTTGTTTTTAGCCAAGTTTTGGCTATTTTAAATATACCGAAGTGTAATTCAGGCTTATAACAATATTTAAGCATAAAACTTTAAACCTGATTCATGGTATTATTCATATAAGCTCAAGCACAAGTCATGAATATTGTATTGCTAGGCTTTATTTATTTATTTATTTATTTTAGGCTTTAAGTTACCCTGT